TAGAAGAAGCATGCCAAGAAAGATTTGGATACAGCAACTGATTGAATGGACAGGCGGTCTCAAACATCAAAGACCATTGCATCTGACCAACAAAGGTCAAAGAACTCTGATCAGACGATTGGAAAGAGAACTAGTGACCAAGCGACGCGTGACATTGTCGGACCATGACATTCAGACAAGTCGTGGTCATGACCAATGACTGAGCCCGAGCACAACCATAGGCGGGTGCTCGGTGTTGTAAATCGGAGAAAGGAGGTGGAGTCTGGTGGGATGGACGTAAGCTGCATCGCAGCGCTGATTGTCTTGGATGTTGGTTTTGACCATCTTCTCCTTCTTTTCCTTTCGCTGACAAGGGACAGATGGCAAGTTCTGGTATAATCGACAGCTAGGCTGCTATATCTCCTCCTTTCGGCCTAACATATCCTAGTTTAGCAGAACTTTCATGTGTCAGCTTTTACCACACCCCATTAAGGGGCTGTGTATTCCTTCTCAAAGAGCCGCCGCACGCTCACCTGCGGATTCGAAGGTTGTGGGTTCAGGTCCTTACGGAGCCGGAAATCAGGTAAAGTCCAGGGGAAGTAAAGTCGATCTGTGTGATAGTGTTGACCACATCACCAACCGATTGATATATACAATATAGGTCTAGCCCTATATGCCTAACATGACTGAAGACTTGGAGAAGGTCTATTACCCCCTCTCCCCTCTGACAGACAGACAGGCATGCAGACAGACAGGCGGTCGGACAGACAGGCGGTCGGACAGACAGGCATGCGGACAGATGTTGAGAAATAAGGGAGAGAGATAGAGCGAAAGCAAACTGACAAGCTTTATTTTCAAAGGGTTGAGAATTAGGTGCGCTGGTCTGCCTAATATTCTGCCATTCTCATCCCACTTCTTTCGGAGAGAGATAGTAAGAGAGGGGAATTTATATATATATATATATATATATATATATATATATATATATATATATATATATATATATATATATATATATATATATATATATATATATATATATATATATATATATATATATATATATATATATGTATATATATATATACACACACACACACACATACACACACACACACATGTATCGATTGGGGGAGGGGGATAGAGAGAGAGAGAGAGCACTATTTGCAACAACTGAAAATCAGTACTGACCCTGAAAACTAGAATTACCAGTCTGTTATTGTAAAAACACATAGTACAGTAGTGCATAAATAATCAGTGATTTATTTGAGAAATGAGGTCAACCTACAGCTCCATACAGCGACCCAGGAAGTAGACGACATCCCCGCCCCCTCCTGTGCCAGGTCCCGGGGAAACTGGAGAAGATTAAGTGTCTGAGTGATTGAAGAGAAAAATAAGGCGACAGGTGTTAACAGAGTCTGTTATGGCCGCTGCTAAATAGGTGACAAGAAGATAAGTGTGTTTTTTGGAGAAGATTAAACGGCTCTTGAGGAACTGCTGAAATGTTTGGTGAATTAGTCGTTCCACTTGAATGGCTGAAAGAGCACAAGAGGGGCGGAAAAGTGGAAAGGGGGGGGGGGGGGTAAAGGAAGGAGGATATTACAAGCGTGCTGGAAAATAATCCGATCTATTTCTACCTCCTGAGTGCGTTCCTCTGTGTCTCTCTCCTTCACTCACTCTATCTCTCACTCTCTGTATCTGTTTGTCTCTCCCATCTGTCTCTCTCTCTCTCTCACTCGGTTTCTCCGTTTTTTTCTTTCCTCCCTCCCTCTTTCCTCTTCTCTCTTCCTCTGTCTCTCTATCTTTCTCTCTCTCACACACAATCTCTCATACACACACACAGTCTCACACACAGACACAATCTCTCATACACACACAATCTCTCACATACACACACATACAATCTCACACACACAGAGACAATCTCTCACATACACACACACTCAATCTCACACACACACAATCCCTCTCTCTCTCTCTCTCTCTCTCTCTCTCTCTCTCTCACACACACACACACACACACACAATCTCTCATATACATTCTGACCTAGTCTAACATGGATACGGTGTGGCAATCGTTGTGTTGTTGATCGCATCGTCCACTGAGTGAGTGCCAACTGGCCTTTAGAAACATGAATCTAGCTTCATACGCCAAATTCGCCACTGGTGCCAGAAGGGTCCTCTACCCCCTTTTATTTCTGTAGCTGCTGTTCCTCCCCCTCCCCCCTCCTTCTCCTCCTCCTCCTCCTCCTTCGCGTTCACCGGTTGTGAACTCCAACGGACAGATCTGCTTTTTCGTCCATTTGTGGACTTGGGTCTCACTCCAGAGCTTGAGTTTTGCGTGATTACTTATTAGAAAGGATTATCATCACAGCACTCCGGACAGATCCATAGGTGCTCCGATCTCCTCAAAAGCTCCACAAGTGTAAAAGGACTGATGACGCCTGTTCTGTGTTGGTTAATGACACCTCTTGTCCCCTCAGTGAAATGTTCGTTTACTTGCAGCTCCAGGCTGCACCCCATGTCTATCAGTCTAGACAGGGATATGGAGTCCTGTCCTTTGGCGTGCTCCTCGGTACGGTAAGTGCAGCGCATGGCATTGATAACATCACTTCTGTCCAGTACTGGGCCAGCCATAGCAACCGCAATGTTTACAAGATGGTACGCTGGTTCCCTTGAACACCCGTATGACCTGGTACAAAGATGAAGGTTAGGACAGATATTCGTGAAGTGCTTTAGTGGTGCTTGAATTTCGCGTGTACACCCTTATTGAAGTTACGGCTTGTCTGTCTGCAAACTGTTGGTTCCTCGCCTCTCAGACAGATGCATTCCGAATTCCAAAGAAAATCTCTGATTAGTCGACTTTTACGACATACTTGTTGGCCTAGGACAAGCACGCGGAGAGCGTGCTTTTAATGTGTACTTTTGCAGCAGACAAGGTGAGCTATCACTTAGACAATCACACAGAACCAGCGGTTAACTTGTGTGTGTGTGTGCGCGCGCGCGTGCATTCGTGTGTGTGTGTGTCCATTTCATGTTTTTTTTTTGTCGCTACCTTTTGCAGGTTAGAGATGATCTGTATCCCAGTTAGGGCACGCTCGTTTCCCCGGCATTGCTGACTCTTTCAGTCCATTTTCTTCTTCGTCGTCCTCTTCTTCATCTTGGTGTTTCTACTTTCATGTTATAAGCTCTCGCTGCTGGCATCGTTGGATTCATTCTCTAAAAATTTCCAACTCATTTCAGTCTTTGTTATTCTCTTAATTATTTCGTGTAGTTTCTCACATGATCTCTTCTAATTGTGTTGAAAGCTTTTCGCAGGGTTTCATTTCGCAGGTGGTTAGTTTTCTTTCGTGTTCTTTAGTCAATGTCCGTGTGACACTTATAGATGGCACAAGCTTGGCATGACGATTGCAATTGTAACAAGGTCCCTTTTCTACATCTTTAGGCATGTAGGGGTAGATCTATATTTTATAGACCAATCGGCACAAGATGTGTGATGTGATCAGCATCACTCCGGTCGCCTTTACCTTCCGGTACCCATTCAAGTTTGGGTCGACCTCGGCGTCAGGAATTGCAATTATAATTCGACTTTTTACCTCTGCTGTTTTACGTTGTTTTGTGTTTTGTTATGTTGTCCCCTAGGATTCATTGTAGTATAGCGTCCAGTGGCTCGCATGTCGGTGCAAAGGTCTTAGGTTTGAACCTGCGTCGAAGTATTTTTTTTTTCAATTGATCTTGATTCCTAGGCATACCTAGCCTAGATCAGGTAATGTATTGGGCAGTACAGGCGGCCAGATGTTGATTAAATCATTCATCGGGGTTTTTTAACCCCGTACGGTTAGGTCTCTTTCCACAGAACGTCGCACAAAGTACGAACTCTGTTGCCCCATCAGCATTTCCCAGGGATTCAGTAATGTCTTGGGGAGTAGGGAGACTCGCTTTAAAATCCAGCTGTCTTGCTGCAGCCCACGGCTGGTGTTTGAAATAGGGCGGTTTCTGAGGTTCACCCAACCTCTAGGTAATGGCTACTAGATCTAACACTCTGGGTAAATTGAGGAACGTCGCTGCAGCTACGGAGTTGCGTGCGGACGGCGACACAGGCAGACAGTTTCTAATCAGCTGTCTGTACTGTTGGCAGAGCACTTATGGTTTATAACCGTGTGCAGTGACGCTGGTTCACATCTCCTGACTTCACCTTTACATTGCTTGAGTGCTGATTGATCTGTAAGTACATGGATAAATTATAGTCTGTTGGCATATGCTCAATATATCACAGCCGTAAACAAAAAAAGTTTCATTTTTGTATGTTATTAAAACCACTGCAACTAGGACCTCCACATCCATACTTCGTTCTCCGATACAATAGCCGATCCAAGATATCGCGTTTTCCCGTATGTAAAACCTGGTCTTATATTAATGCTTGCCACAAAATGCGCTCGGGCCAAAGTCCAGATGTGGACCAACAAAAACGATTTTAGGGTCGTTGAACACGAAGAAGAAGAAGAAGAAGAAGAAGAAGAAGAAGAAGAAGAAGAAGAAGAAGAAGAAGAAGAGAAGAAGAAGAAGAAGAAAAGAACAACAACAACAACAGGAAGAATAGAAGAAGAAGAAGAAGACTAAGAAAAAGAAGAAGAGGAGGAACAAGAAGAAGAAAAGAAGAAGAAGATGAGGAAGAAGAAGAAAAAGAGGTAGATTAAGAAGAAGAAGAAGAAGAAGAAGAAGAAGAAGAAGAAGAAGAAGAAGAAGAAGAAGAAGAAGAAGAAGAAGAAGAAGAAAAAGAAGAAGAAGGAAAAACACAAAGCAGCAACAACAACAAGCAGTAGAAGAAGTAGACACTAGAGTACTGTCGCAGACAAAAACACCATTTACTTTACCTGTGTGAAAACGAAAACCAAGAGACAGAAGAGAAAATCCGACACAGCAAGAGCTATGAGGCCAATATGGGCGGATATCTCCATCTTAGTTAGCGTCCGGTGCAGCTTCTCCGTGGTAAGAACCATCAGGGACAGGAGGTTGCCCACCAGACCCAGGGCACAGACACAAGGGACGGCGATATCCATGATGTAGTATTTCACATACGCCGAGAGCGTTAGTGTGTCTTCCGCTGTTGTCTCTGATACGTTCGTGGTGATATTTAGGCAGTTAAGCATCTTGTGTTTTTGACTTCTTTGATTGCTGGCTGGAGCTCAGTTTACGACATTTTGATTGTCGGTGCAGGTGTTTCTTGGATACCTGGGGTAGTTGCTAGAGCTACGGAGTATTTTGCTCTGCAGAAATTACGCCATGTATGGTCAAATGGATATGACAGAATCACTAATCTGAAGAGCTATACACATTTCACATTAACTCGCGGTTTAAGAAAAGACACCAGCACTTAAGTTAACCAGAATCAACAGGGAAAAACAGCAGTATTTTAACTATACTGTTCTTCAATTAAAACGCCCAGTGGAAAATGATAGTGTGATGTCTAAAACCGGGAAAATTTAAGTATGATATCTAAAACCGGGAAAATGATAGTGTTATATCTAAAACCCGTCGTTGGCACCTTTCTGTCTTTCTAGAGGACAACTCGTTCTTGCCGCCTTTAAAACTCAAATTGTGGTGTTTTCTGTCAGGAATGTTGCAGTTAGTGAGTACCCCAGTCTTTACGAGGCAGTAAAGCCCGTAGAGAAGAATATAGACCTTGCACGAGAATCTTCCTTAGCGTTGCTTTAATCTGCCCCCATTACTTTGGAGCATACATCTGTCCAAGTTTACCACAGAAGATTTGCATGGAATTCTTTCTGAACTAGCATTGATTGTGTATTTTTGCATGGCAACTCGCCGAGCCAAGCGTATACCTTTGTATTTTCATGTTTCGGTCTTATAAAGTAGATGATACACGGACTCTGAGTGTCATCGTTAATCACCTTATTGGAACTCCATAGTAAAACGATACTTCTGATGCATTTTACATATCCAGTCTGAAAAGTTGCTTCCGTGAAAATTAATTTGCAGGATACAAAAAGAATCCCTTTCTTTGTCTGCTCGATTGTAATATTAATAGGACCATAGTATGTTGATAAAGACTTGATAATATAATGCCATAAATCTTTGAGACGTCTGCAGTCGTAGTTTGTGTATCTCTATCATTTTTTTTTTTTTTTTTCACAACCCAGATAATTTCGCTGATCAAATTCAGGTAATTAGTCACTAGTTCTTGACCATCCAACACCGGTGGGTAATGACGTAGTTTACAGAAAATAATGTCTCCTTGTTAGATCGTAGTATGTCCTGCGGACATGTCTTTTCAACATATATTTGACGTTTAGAAATGATTACATTGTCATTATCTTTGATAAAAATCCAGCTTGTTGATCTAGATACCGAGAAAACAGGGGTTAATCGCCGTAGTTGATGAAATAGTAAATACTGATTGGTAGATTTAGCTGATTAAGACACTTGTAAATGAGTCGCGTTGACTGCAGACACTTGAAGAAGTGTCTGGTTTGCTGTAGACATTTGTAGCCGTGTCCGGTTATTTGTAGACACTTGTAGCGTTATCTGCTTTCTGTAGACACTTGAAGGAGTGTCTGGTTGGTTGTAGACACTTCCAAGAGTGTCTAGCTGACTGTAGATATGCGAGGTGTCTAATTGTCTGTATACACTTGTAGATGTATCTAGTTGACTTTAGGCACTTGTACGAGTGTATAGATGACTGCAGGCGCTCTTGGGAATCTCTAGTTATACGCAGACATTTCTGAGAGCGTCTAATTGGCTGCAGACTCTTGTTGGAGTGTCTAGTTGGCTGTAGTTACGTAAAGGATTGTCTATTAGCTGTAGACACATAGAGATATCTGCTTTGTGTTGACAATTACAGATGTGTCTTGCTCGTCGTAAACGCCTTCTAGAGGCGTCTGGTTGGCTGTAGATACCTGTAGATGGGCCTAATTATCTGTGCACACGTGTAGATGTCTAGTTGGCCTCTGCACTTGTAGATGCATCTGGTTGGCTGTGGATACTTATAGAATCGTCCGATTGGTTGTAGACGCTTATACACGATGTCTAGTTGGCTGCAGACATCCACAGAGGTGATTAATTTGCTGTGGACATTTGTCGATGTTTTTGTAGCCACTTGGAGATATGTTTGCTTTCTGTAGAAGCTTGTTGACTGTAGAACCTGTAGAGATGTCTAGTTGATTGTAGACATGTATAGTGGTACCAAACTGGCTGTCGACATTTTTGTTGGCGTGTCGTAATGATACGTTTTAGCGGTGCTTAGTTTGGTTTCTGTTACAGTAAACTTGTTCTTTCGACGACGCCCTGACTTCGTTTACTGTCTGAGTGTATTGGTAGTTAAATTCTTCCACTGGTTAGAATACTTCGTGTCTGAAATAAACAAAAGAATGAAAGTGCGTTATTAATTTCCTTGCTTAAATTTTATCATTATCAACATCGTTCTCAACTTCATTGTTATCAACATCATCATTATAATATCATATCAACATCATCATCATTATCATTATCTAGTCTCGTTTTCTGTATTCAATTAGAATCTCTGCAATCACGAATGGAACCCACCAGCCCTCATAAGTTACTAGAGTACCGAACCACGACCGGCTCCAGCTGACGGGCCGTGCTGCTAACGTCACCGGGTCGGGCTAACGATGCGTTAAAGCAGCAGTTCTCAAACTGGGTGCCGAAGCACACTGGGGTGTCGTTAGCCTATGCTAGGGGAGCCGCGGAAATAATCAAGTAAAGTCAGCTAAAAATTGTGAAATTATTAAAGAAGGAATGTAGATACTTGAAAGTTAAAAATCTAAGTTGTCCTTCCTAGCCACGGTCGAAAATAGTTTATTTATTGTTTTAGAACCACCGCGTTAACGCATCTTTAGCCCGACCTGGTGACGTCAGCAACACGGCCTGTCAACTAAAGCCGGTCTTGACCGAACCAAGCCCCTCGTTTTGGTGCAATTAACACTTCTTACTTAGCCAACATACTTGGCACAAAGACCACACCAGACCACAGTTAATACCGGTACAGCCCGCAGTAGGTTGAACATGGTTAATTGTGTGGGGTTGAAGGGAGCAATCGTCACTGCCTAGCTATAAACCACAACGCAAGGTGCCAACTACCCTTTAAATAGCAAATGCAGAAGAAAAAGAACAAGAAGAAGAAGAATAAAAAGAACAAGAAGAAGAAGAATAAAGAGAACAAGAAGAAGAAGAATAAAAAGAACAAGAAGAAGAAGAATAAAAAGAACAAGAAGAAGAAGAATAAAAAGAACAAGAAGAAGAAGAATAAAAAGAACAAGAAGAAGAAGAATAAAAAGAACAAGAAGAAGAAGAATAAAAAGAACAAGAAGAAGAAGAATAAAAAGAACAAGAAGAAGAAGAATAAAGAGAACAAGAAGAAGAAGAATAAAAAGAACACGAAGAAAAGAATAAAAAATCTGTGGAAGAAGAAGAATAAAAAGAACAAGAAGAAGAAGAAGAATAAAAAGAACAAGAAGAAGAAGAATAAAAAGAACAAGAAAAAGAAGAATAAAAAGAACAAGAAGAAGAAGAATAAAAAGAACAAGAAGAAGAAGAATAAAAAGAACAAGAAGAAGAAGAATGAAAAGAACAAGAAGAAGAAGAATAAAAAGAACAAGAAGAAGAAGAATAAAAAGAACAAGAAGAAGAAGAATAAAAAGAACAAGAAGAAGAAGAATAAAAAGAACAAGAAGAAGAAGAAGAAAAAGAACAAGAACAAGAAGAAGAAAAAGAACAAGAAGAAGAAGAATAAAAAGAACAAGAAGAAGAAGAATAAAAAGAACAAGAAGAAGAAGAATAAAAAGAACAAGAAGAAGAAGAATAAAAAGAATAAAAAGAACAAGAAGAAGAAGAATAAAAAGAACAAGAAGAAGAAGAATAAAAAGAACAAGAAGAAGAAAAGAGGGGAACAGAAAAGAAGGAGGTTGTTCATTTGTGGCTACATTAAAAAAAAAAAAAAAAAACGCCTCTACGTAGCGCACAAACGCAACACACACACACACACACACTTACACACACATACATACATTTACGCACACACACACTTACACACACGCACGCACGCACACTTACACACACACACAGACACGCAGAAACTTTCGGCAATCTGTGGGTAGATAAAATGTGTAATTTCTCCGATCTCAGAGATATATAGAGACAAAGAATGAATGAAACATAGATAGTGAGCCTGAGAGAGAATGAATGAATGTAGACAATGGAACGCTATTGTAGATAATGGATTTTGTCGACCAGTCCCCTGATTCGTTGTTATTGAGAAGTTGTTAGTGTTTTGAATTTTGTTTTTGTTTTTTTACCACCCAAAGTTTTTTCCGATTGTCGATCCTTTCAGCCCACATATGCAGTATTACAAGTTCCGTTAAACTGGTTGTTTGTTTGTTTTAGTATCCAGAAGCCATGAGTTGTTAACCCTTAGGCTCGGTATTATGGATATCGCAACCTTTCGGCCTTGATTCCATTGTAAATACCGTCAATCTGGGAGAAAATGTGGCTTTCCTGCCTACCCCCGGGATTGAACCCGGACCACAAGGAGTTCCTCACCCGGTCTCCGCGCAATCCGGTTTTGCCAACTACGCTAGAGAGCCGGGTCTTAAACTGGTAAATACAATAACATCAGGCGTACGTAGACACTGGTTCTTTGTCTGGTGGCGCAGGAATTACAGTGGTTTTAAATCTGATAACAGGCATGACTATGTAACAAGTTTGATTGACTGCTGTTTTGAGCCGGTCATCTGACGTTGCGTAACATCATCTCCACGAAAAGTTTGATGTATGTAAACTTTTTTTTTTAGCATCGATAGTTCAATTGGTTTTGGTTGCTAACAGTGGACCATAATAAAGTAAAAAAAAAAAAAAAGTAGTAAAGTACCCTTTTCCACGCCATTAGGCGTAAAGGGCATATAGGGCTAGACCTATATTTGTATAGACCAAACGGCACAAGATGGGTGATGTGGTCAACATCACGCCGGTCACCTTTACTTTCCGGGACTGCAGCTGGTACCCACTCAAGGCTGTGTCAACCTGGGAGCTCTTAATAAAACCACCAGTTTATATGACCGACTCAAAACAGCAGTCAGTGGCTCATCGTACATACGGTGATAGATTCATACCTATAGGT